TGTTTGGGGATTGGTCCTGCTTTGAACAAGGGGTTGGACTAGATGACCTCCTGAGGTCCCTTCCAACCCTGGTGTTCTATGAAACCTGATTCCAATTTAGGTATCAATCTTAGCACAACTGAGATTTTTCCTTGGAATATACCATCTATCATATAATTTGTGTCCCTTGTTTAGTGAAATGCTGTAAACCCAAATTGCAGACATATTACTGGAATAACAATGACATTAAGACAAATGACTACCAGGCTGCTTAGACAGAGATTACAAAATAAAAGCTACTTTATCAACATTACTGCAGATTATGCCACAATGTAATAACATTTAAAATTAATAATCACAAAAAAATGTATTACACAAATGACTATTGCAACTACTTAAAAACCTTAAGCTTTTCCCACAGCACTGAGCCAGGTCCCCAATTTCCTTACATACTAATAGTTGCTGACAAACTCCTTTACTCCCTCACACGCTGCATCTGCAAGACTGCAGCACTATTTAATATCAGATACTGCATCAAGGTAGTCCTCAAGAACTTTCTTCCAATAAGAGTAGAAAGGGTTTTTGGAAAAGGAAAGGGGATAACTAGTATGTCCCAACCCATGTATGTGTTATTAACTAAAGTAAAAAAAAAAAGTTAAAAAAAAGCATGATTTACGACCAAGTATAGCACGGAAGACTATTTTTTTTATAAGAAATAGCATCGTTCTGGAAAGTCCCCTCACTGGTATCTTACAACAACAGGAAAAAAACCTCAATATACAAATAAGATTAAAAATACTTCAGCAATCAAAGTGTATTTTCTGTTTTAGGTTCCTTTTATGTTACACAGTGAAAAGTTTTTATTTTAAATAAAATTCATGCTGTGATTGTGGCGCTGCAAATAAAAAACCTCTATTTCAACATTTCTACTTAATAGTTGGTGCTAACAACTCCACCAATAGATTTCTGCAGAGAAGCCAGGGCGTGCAGTATTAGAATACAACAGTAAGACGCTGACAGGTCAATTTCTAAAGCTTAAATGTGATTTACTTAAAGCCACCCGAGTCTTAAGAC